GTTGAAGTAACGAGTGAAATTCAACAATGATTTTATGTGGCGAATGGGAAAACAAAGTTCATCAATGATAACTCTGTTTATGCCGCAAACGTTTGGTCTGTTTTGTCGGGTTCTAGTTAGTTCGTGCGGATTACCGGCAGGCTTTTCACTCAGTCTAGGGTGATATGAAGTTTGAATAAGTTTCGAATTAGCGGAAGGGCCTAGCAAATGTCGCTCATTGATGACGTTCTTGGGAATTTCTTAAAATCTAGGGATTGCAAGCTCACTGTCAAGTTATCTTGGAGTGAGCGTGTTTTTAACAGAAATTTTTTGACTAATAAAGACCATTTGGATCAATCACGGACATGTTCACCCACAACAACGTCAACACACAATTAGATGCTTATTACAACTTAACTAACACGTAACATCTCATAAGTTCCCAGAATCGCAGTATCTGGTCAGTTTATCCGAAATCCACAGGACTCCGGAAAGCCAGGCCCATGTGGTCGTCCATGTTACTGTGATATACACAGGCCTCCTCGTTACAAGGATGGGTGCCGTCTGGTGTCATCTCTATAAAGTACACTGCTGTTTCAACAAACTCTGAACTAGCCATGAAGCAGCAAGGCAGGCCAGAATGACAGCTTAGTCCATCAGTAAATTAGTGTCAATGATTTGTATGGCCATCTTGCATTTTACGAAACTGCAAGAAAGTATTCGAAAATAATCTTGGATAAAGTCTCAGTGGAAAGGTAGCACAATCCCTACAATAAGTCGGTCTAGAAGTAAATCAGAGGAGAGAAATACTTTTCATCGCTGAGCTCAGCTCTCGCGGAACCGGTCAGCAACCGTAACCACTCGATAGGTTTTTCTCTTCTGAAGGATAGGTTTCACTTGGTCCTGCCCAAGAGTGCGTGCACTGCAATGCTGATCAGTCGCTTATGGTCGCACGGTTAAGTGTTCCAAATGCTAGCCAGAAGGTCGCGGGTTTGAGACCTTTTGAACTTTCGCGAGGTGCGTGCTGCTGACGATTCCCAATAAGGAAGATACAGCTAGCCATACAGTACCTCTTCAACTTGCAGCTTAAATGAGTTTCACATACGGGACAAAACATAGCACTCAATAAGCAGTTTGATCCTCCCGTACTCCGCTCTTCGGTGGAGGAGTGTGTTTCACCGTCACTTACTTCCTGGTAGGATACAACGATACAATAAAAAACGAACAAATTTCAAAGCAGTCCGACAACGTCAAATGAAGCTTCGGGAGCACCATACCATAGAGATTTGCCGTCTCACACGAAGAAGTGTGTTCAACCCTTCCTCGGTGAGGCTTACACCGAGTTCAAATGGTTTTGTCGTTCAAAAGCATAGTACATTATTTTCAAATTTTAGCAAGAATGATTACATCTCATCTTTTTTTGAAACTCGCTTACTGTGAAATGATGTTGGTAAGGCGGCCACTCGAACTCCATTGACTGAACTTTCACCTTCAATGGTTCATGGAGGTACAATTGGCTTTCTTGAAGTTCCATGCGCCTTCCACGACGGGAACATCCCACTCGCGTGCAATCAGTCCCTTCTTGTCTTCAGGAACGTACGCCCTTGCACTGCTCAATTCGAAAGATAACTCGCAATTCTCCGTACACAAGATTGTCCTTCCAACGGGGATTCTGTGTGTAGAGCAGATCAACCTGTCACCAGTGACCCGGATTTGAATAATTCATCGATACTCACCACTAGTCAGATTATACTCTCGTTTAATCAAACTGTTAGATGTTGGATTTGAGAATCTTTCAGCAATGGATTCAAAAGCTCGGATGACTAGAACAAACCTACGTTAATCTGATCAAACATTTCCTCTGGATATACCTCATGGTTATAATGGGTCACTTTGTTTTTGCGAGACCGCGATATGTACAGTCATATATTTACATATTTGTTTACATATTTTTATTATTTAACTTATTTTTCTATTCGTTTTATCATTTTTATTTATTTATTCATTTAATTCTTATTTTATTTTGTTTTTCATTATGATATATTTTATTTCTAATTTTAATTTTTATATATTTATATTCTCACGTGACATATATTAGATATTATACATATCGAAAATTTATTACCGATATTATTGTTTCTATTTTTATTAGTGATATTTATTTATATACGCTATATAGGCCATCGTTATCATGCGAGTAAACTCTTACAAAAACTGACAACTCACGAATTAACGTATATGGACCAACGCTCATCTGAGACGCGATAGAACGCAACAGCACCAGTTGGATAATTTTGTCGCGAGAATCGAGCAAATTTCACTTTTGCCTGTTTCAACCTGAAAAAGAGAAACAATTAAATCCTGTAGGCCTAGACAAAATGAACATTCCAGAAATGAAAACTAGACTGAATTTATGTGAATTTTATGGTTAAACAGAAGTAGAAGAACCACACTTTTTACAAAATCGGTGCTTTACCAAATTTCGGTGTCGGACTTGCATAAATAGATTTTGTAACGCGTCAATACCTGTTTCGATTAACATTTCCACAAGCTTCGTGGCCTAAAATGTGCATTGTCACGCTTTCAAAAAATTGCTTCAGATTTTGATGGAATACTTTTGGTTTCGTGATCACGTACCTGTTGTAGCTGATCAAAAGTTGCTAACTTCGACTTGGGCCTTGGGTTTGTGCGATATATGACATTCCAGTGAATCCTTTGGGGGCGAATCCAATTACCCACTTTATTTGGTTCAAGTACTTTATTCTCTGACTTGATCTCTTTACGAACAAGAATTGAAATTTTTCCAATTTCCCTCGAGTGCCCATTGTCAACCAAATAGTTAAATTGGTTCTATTTGCTCACATGAAGCGTCGCCTCACTCCAGTCCCCAGTGAATTCCTGTCCGCTCGTTTGATAGCACACGTTTTCCCCTAACACCACCAGTCCAGTAATCTCGGTCATGGCTAAGACACAATGGTCCCCAAGGAGCTCGTTCGAGGCGATCCAATTGAACCATAAACTCGTGTCCAACATCACATTCATTCCAACCGCCGGGTCGCCCAATTTTACGGAGGTAACGGGCAATGACTGACGTGGATCAATGACAAAACCTGACTGTGGCTTACATATTCGGTAGTGGTTAACTCCGCTGTAAATTCCATCCGTTTAAATCGCTTGAACGACTGCTCAAGATCGTTGTTCGTGCTTTCATTGTTCATACGCAGAGAGAAGCGTTATCAGTTTTGCTAAATTTTTACGAAATAGTTTGGACTTACTCAGATTGAATAAGGTTTTCCTCCTGCTGCTTGAAAGCAGATGCAGAAGCTTTCAGTTTTATCCCGTTACCCCGTGAAACTTCATCCGGGCTTTTCTGTGAAATGTCTTTTCACCTAGAAGTTTGATGGTCACGTGTTCCCCAATAACTTCCACGTTCATAGCACACGCTGAAGTCACCAACCTGCGTTCTTTCAGCACACAGCAAAGGGGTTTTAGAGGATACTACAGCGTACGTACTGCGTGGAAAAAAACGACGTGTCTCTGCAACACTAAGGACAGCATCCATCTGAAAAAGCTTCAAGATTTGGGGATGCAGATGTCCTCAAGGCCTTAGATGTGACAGCTAAACGGCCGCCATTTGTTAAACAACTTAGGGTTCCCGAAAACTCATGGGGTCAAACTCAGACAAGCATGCAACGAGAATCAAGCGTTTTCTCGAAGCACTTCGAGCTATCCCGGTTCCACCGACCACTCGGTAAATTCCCCACCGCTGTCCTTCTGATAAGCTACCAAAGGGTGAAAATTTCAGCCGAGTTAATAACCTGGAAACCCGTCGGACAAATTGCACCAATCAATTTGGCGGGCACTTCACACTCAACCGGCGCCAGGCAGTTACAAAATGACACCATTGCCGCTAATAACGGCCTCTGTAGTAGAAAATTCACTGACAAAACAGAAGCCCATAGAGACAAGTCGGCTAATAGGACATTCTTCGGTTGGATAAAAAGCAAACACCGCATTTCTGGTTATCAGTTCTGCAAACTATCATTCTGATAGATTCAACCCAATACACTCCGGGGAAATGAAGTAGGTAATCCACATGCACATCTGCTATATCATAATTTTCATGATCTCTACCAGTGTAACGGGGGACACTACTGATGAGGCGCGCGAGTAGTATGTGGTTTTCCTGTAACCCTGCATCGCGACTAATGGAAGGTGGGGTTGATTACGGAACGTGTGGAACTGCTTTTCAACGTTTGCTTACAATGAACGAGTATCCACGAAAGTTCAAGGAGATGCTCAAGACGTTGGGTTTTTAAAAACAAGTTGTCCAATAGTTTAGAGCCGTTTAGTTGGTGTTTTCTACTGAACAACAAAATTCAGCACGCATTATTTTGGCAGCTTCTCCGGAATGCGGAATCTTTGTGAAATGGTAAGCCAACAACCATGCCGATTAGCGAGTCCATTCGAACGATGACAGCGTCGACCAAGCGAATTGTACGCCCTGTCACGTGTCGTTTGCATCATTGGTCACTCAACATCGGTGATGCTGTTAACTCGGGACCCTGTTACAAATGAGTCTAACATCAATATCTTCACTGGATCGAAAATATCCTCCTGTCAAGAACTGCTTTTCATGTAACCTGCCACAGTCGGCCACAGTCAACAAAGCAGCTTTTCAGGACGGCGCACCAACCTTTCTCCGCTTGTCCACTTGAATCGCAAACGCGGTTCAAAAATCAATGGGCGCTAGAAAATGGGGTACCGACATGGCTGAGGACGTACTGAGGTTTTACTTCTCGTAACACGACTGTTGTTTTTAAAATCTCCGTTTACGCTGTCAGTATACCGCTGCTTGAGACCGGTTTCGTCCTTCTTGGAGATCGTCAGTTAGATGCACTCTCCGAAGTTCCGGCAAAGTTATGTCTTACTTGAACCGGAATTGCAGACTGTTTTCGAGAAGTGCATTCATTTGCAAATCAGTTTACAGACTAAAGTGAATCTCTCGTTTATGATGTTTTTCAACTGAATGTGTGATATCCCGAATATCGTACCAACTGGAACCTAAGACGTCGGCCTTTGTGCAACACATTCAGTTGAAGAATATCATAAACAAGAGAGTCGCTTGAGTCCCCCGTGAAAACCAAATTGCACTGCATTTGTGTATTTGTCGGAATATAAAGGTATTGGTTGTGACCTCCCCCAAAGGGGAGACTAATGACTAATGAATGCTTCCGAAGATGTGAGTGCAAAGTAAACTCATAAGGTTGCTGAACGTCCGTCGACAGCCTACGAACGGTTTTGCCACTTTGAGGGCTCATCAGGTAGGCGCAGTCTCCGGGTTTCCGTCAACCTTATGTTTTACTTGAAACCAAATTGCACGGAATTGGCGAATATACACTCATTTCCAAACTAATTTGGTTTCTCGAGAAACGTACCTGGAACCCAACTGAATCTATCGTTTTTGGTGTTTCCAGGCGACTGAGTGTGCTGCGCCACGTCCCCTCATGTTTCAGTCGTTACGATATTCGAGATATCCCAATACATTTATATGTTTGTAATATACTACTCATAAGGTTGCTGAAGATCCACCGACACCCAACGACCGGTTTCGCCCATTTTCGGGCTCATCAGGTAGGCGCATTCCTTGGGTTTCCGTAAAGTAAACTGAACCCGAACGATACCATATTCATAGGTTCTGAGGCACGCCTCTGATGTCCGCACTCTTATTCTGCTGTTGTGCAACTCCTAGCTGGTTATCTTTAACCAGTGGACATAGCACCTGAATTAAGCCTGCAATGAGTAATCTCACCGTAGCCAAGATTCAAGCCAGAATTCACATGTAAAATTTTGTCCCTGCGGATCCGACAACACAACGGACAGTCGACGCGTCATAAAACCATTCAGAATTAGAAAACAAATAGAGCAGTGTCTATGTGTCGAAATCTCTGTAGCTCGCACGCATTCGTTGGTGATCTGTCAGATAGCCGAGCTTGACACAAAGCTTGACGTCAATAAGTTGTTTCGTTACGGATGATGTGAGAAAATACTCGTGTAAACGACAACAGGCTTTAATGTCTACAGGGCCTGGTTTGTTGGAATAAGACTAACCTTCAACGCTCCCAACGTGACATTGGTAAGAGTGTTCATTCATGCACATTAAGGCAAGTTGTCAATGCGTCTACCATAGTTCTATCCAAGTGCATTGAAAAATCAAGTAGGTGAGGATGCGCGAAGATTTTCAGGCCTCCAGGATTAATAGACCTGGTTGGTCACATCCAAATCTATCCGCCATGAACGTAAGACTCACTAAATGCGAACCAAATTAGGCCTCTCAGGATGACAACAAGGCATTCGGCGTTTTTGAGGCCCAACAGCTACCTGCGACTCTCCACATATCACATTCTATCTCAGGCAAAATCCACCTACGTCCTGTTGCGTGTTTACTATCAGTTGTGCTCTTTTTTTACACACGTGAACAACACACTCTCTACAGGTTGCGAGTGGCCCCAATGCCTGGAAAGGTATATGAAATCAGACCCTTTCCCAACGTACCAGCAAGTCCGTCAGGACGGGGATGGTGGCACTCCTGTGACATGGAGGAACTTCTTGAAGGTAGCGGACATCTGGTCCGAAATCTGGGTCCGATGAGTCAGCTTAATGTGACGTAGTTTGTGAGTATGAAAGAAAGACAAACCTCGTGATTCGGTGAGCGATTGTGGGCTGAACGGTCAAGTGCGTGGGCGTCGGAGTAGCTACACATCATCTTTCACGCGGATTTATTGGGGAGCTGCTCGGGATTCGTGTCCGCTGATGCATAAAATGTCATGGTATTCAAAGCTGCTTGCTGCTGCCAAGCCCCAATACCCACCAGCAAACCACGTAGATCAGCGAAACCGTTTGGGGGGGTTGGTGTGCCTGTTTAGTGACGTCTTTGTGTCAATCAGTGGCCGCATTTTATCTTGCGAGCCTCGCTCGCCCCAAGTATTTATGACTATTTCCTGATAAAATGTTTCGCCCTATTGACACCCCGTTGCACACATCAAACTCCTACTTAGGACTCTCTTTTTGCTGACTGAATTCTCTTCGTGTTTGAGAGTAGTTGTTGAATTGAGGAAAAAACGTTTTGGACTCGTTACTTTTTCGTGCACTAAACGTGTACCTCAATTTTTTGCTGCAATTGTCCGTCCTGTGCTATTTGAGAGCTTTACTCCATTCAAAGTGTAATGTCGGGTTAGTCCTTTTTAGACCAGACTGCGTGTTTCCAAGCGGTTATTCTGCGGTGTGTTTTGACTGTCATCCAAAGCCATTTTTTAGTTATAGATCGTTGCGGATCTCCAGCATGTGTCCTTTTTAGGTGACCGACACTTCCTGCGCTACCACATGCGATATGAATGTTACCTGAACCCCTCACAGTAATTCAGCCTACAACTGGAGGGGTAACAGAATGTCCCGACGCCCAATCTACCTCACGACATTATGTCATGTTGATAACGGAGCGTGTAGGTCAAGAACCAATAGCTTTTGCGTGTGAATACCTTCAAACGACAACAGCGACATCGGCGATGACAAATGTACTCAGGCTAATGTTAATAACACCCATCGTGCCCGGAAAAACAACAATTTGAGGCTGCAAGCACGCATTTATTTGAAGTGTCAAACACTGCAAAATGTTTAAATAAATTGAGAACAGTGTTCCTCACGAAAATCCTCACGCGTGTGGAGCAAAATTGACGATTGAATGACGTCGATTCCCTGGTGCGCATCGGCGATGGACGCTCACGGCAAAAGTGCAAATCAAACAAGGGTTCAGTCGGTCGGGTTGTTGACTGCAACGTGGATCTTCTTAGCGTTCACATCGAATACAAGAAGCATTTTGTACAAGTAGTCTGTTCCGAGGGCATAATAGGTACTGTCGTGCGTCAATATTGTACTTTGATATTTTCTGACCCTGCGTTCAGTGTACTGTGGAAGTAACGAGTGAAATTCAA